ATTCACTCACTCACTCACTCACTCTCTCTCATTCACTCATTCACTCACTCACTCTCACTCACTCACTCACTCTCTCATTCACTCACTCACTCACTCACTCACTCTCATTCACTCACTCTCACTCTTATTCACTCACTCTCACTCACTCACTCACTCACTCACTCTCTCATTCACTCACTCACTCACTCTCATTCACTCACTCACTGACTCATTCACTCACTCTCTCTCACACACTCACTCTCATTCACTCACTCACTCTCTAATAAGAGAATTTTTTTTTTAAGAAAAAAAACAAAAACAAATTTCAAAGCCTTATTTTTAAATCTTAAAAGTAATTTTTTTCCCCTCAAAGTTCCAACAGTTGGCCTTGACTTCACAGAATTGGAGCATGCTTTTCCAAATTTGCATCGCCAGCTCTTTCAACCCCTAGAATCATGTCTAGACTTTGATTTATCCTTGACCTCTGGGACTTCTCAAGAGAGCAAAGACTTTTCCAAGGTACGTTAACATAGAGTCTCCATTGCAGTTAATTCCCAAGAATCGTTTTAAGCGTTTTCTTCTATTAGAGCTATGGTTCTTAATCTTGGCTGCCTACTACAACCATGTCGCAAACTTTTAAAAAAATACAATGCCCAAACTACTCTAGATGAATTAATCAGAATCTCTGGGCATATGAAGGCATTGTGTTTGTTCTTTTAAGCTCCCCATGTGATTCGAATCCCTGTTTGAATTTTGTCCTATCAGCCTGATCTATGGCTTAACACAGGAAAGAGGGTTTGACATTGTTAGCGAGTGGCTCATTTGTTTGTTTAATGGAATTCTACCTTAAACAGTCCAATCAATATGATTTTAGAAAAATCTAAGAAATCTCTTCCTACAAGTTGAAGGGACCGAGATACAAGCAGGGTGATCTTCCTGTTTCCTTGGCCTAATATCCAAAGCTACTTTAGTGTACCTATTTTCTGTTTATGAGAAATTAATCTCTGTTCATAACTCTTATAGTTTAGGTTAATTCGCAATTTGTTTTAGATAATTTTCTAAAGTCTCATATTGATTGAAATGGAGGAATGAGGTTTTGAATAAGCAATTTGATAGTTATTTTTAAAACAAACAAAACACCCACTGCCATCAAGCCAATTCTGCCTCATAGTGACCCTATAGAAACAAGTAGCCCTTGTGGTTTCCCCAGAGTAACTCTTTAAGGAAGCAGAAATCCTCCTCTTTCTCGGAGGAGCCAAACCGCTAACCTTTTGGTTAGCAGCCCAATGCATCACCCCTCCCCACCAAATATTGCCAAAGGAACTGACTGATTCGATGGATAAATGTACCCCTTAATATTTCAAAACTGCTAACCACAAGGTCAGTGGCAAAAAGATTAAGCTTTCTGCTCCATAAAGATTTACAACCTCAGAAACCCATAAGGGTGGCTCTGTGTCTCATAGTCACTGTGAGGCGGAATCAACTCGTTGGCAGTGAGTTTGTTTTCATTGAATCTTTCTACCTCTCTTGTTTTCTGCTAGGGCCCCGAGTCTTCATCTCCAAGCCAACATACTACTACCGCTTCCTTCAAAGGCTCAGTTTCTCTTACAGGACAGAGGAGCAGCATGTGCTCTTCTCGTAATGCAAGTCTAGACCAGCAACGTGACTTCCATTTGGCTCCTGTTGCGGCTCAGAGTATGTGTGACCAAGTTAATACCCCAAATCGACTCCCTGCTATGGAGTCAACGCTGACCCCAAGCCACCCTCCAGGACCGAGTAGAACTGCCCCTGCAGGTTTCTGAGACTAACTGTGCATAGGGCAGAAAGCCGCCTTTCTCCCAGAATGGCTGGTTTTCAACTGGGAAACTTGCCCAAGTATTTGTTATATATCAACCCTGAGCTCTTTGAGGAAAAAAGCTGTCATTTTTTCCGATTGTCGCAGTGCCTTTCATAATTTATTAGCTTGGGTGAAAATGGGGGGCTTCAGAACATGCATGGCAAACCTCCATTCTCCTTTCATTCCATCTCTCCACAAACCTTTAGATGCCTCATATGATGTGCGCTAAAGAACTGCTTGAGGGTCATGTAACCATTCTTTAGCTTTCTATTCATTCTTAACATACGTGAGTTTTTACTCCTAAAACCGCAGAGAGCAACCTGACTATAAATCACTTAATATATAGCTTAAGCTTTATTATTTGCAGTTTACTCAGATTATTAGATTGCATATGTATCCATGTTTTGTGACATACAGGAATGATTAACAAACTTCTTGACCTTCTTTACTGCAGGAGCTGAACAATCTTTTCAAGAGCTTGCACCAGAGTTTTCTGTAGAAGAGGGGAGCCAGTATGCTGATCTACCAAGTGTTTTTAGCATTGAAGCAGGAGATTCGTCTCAAGTCGAGGAAAATCAGAACCACCCCTCTGAAGAAATGTTGCCGAATAAGAAAAACCCTCAGTTCCCAGTCTGTCTTGAAACTGTGTCAAGTTCATCTGATGAGGGTAATGTCTTTAGGCAGTTAAACGTACAACATAGCACCCCGTGTGGCTCTACCTCTAGTGAGTGCTCAATAAAAGATCAACAAGAAGACGGGAGAAAAGGACCGAGTTTTACAAAAGTCCCTGAAAGAGGACTTCACATGATGTTAGAGAGCCAAGGAGCCGTTGAAGTTGATCAATGTGCAGCAGGCGAGCCTCCAGACAGAAATCCATACGCAGAAGAAACTGACTCGGAATTACGCGTAAGAACAGTGGAGATGGGAACTTCACTTCTGACACCCCCCTTATTAACTAATCAGAATGAAAACGATTTTGAGACGCCAACTTTTAAAAGGGAAACTCCGGAAAGCTTAAGCAACCTCTCTCAGCCAGCACCGCCAGAGCTCTTCCTGAGCGCCGCATCGCTGTCAGCGCCAGGCTCAGTTCCAACCTGGGTGAGTGAAATCAGTCTTGTACTGGTGGCATCGAAGTCTCTTCTGGGGAAAGGATGTTTTGAAGCAAACTTCAGGAAAAGCAACAAAGCTCAGTCTCCATTTTGACACCGAAGCTCGCTTGCCAAGGTTCCTAGATCCATTTAATGAAGTGGAAACTTCACCTGAAAGCTGACCTTGAAGAGAATTTCACCTTTCAATTCAGCTCCCCTACCTCTAGGTTCCCAGAGAAGTGACCCTTTCCAGGATGAACCTCCTGGCACCATATTTAAGTAAACCACTATGAGCATTCCCTCAGTGCAGTGTAGCAAGGTTGGCTGCTAACTGGAGGCTGGAGCTCATCCAGCATGGTGCTCTACCTCTGAAAAACCAGCCATTGAACCAGCACACTGATGGAAGAGGTCTACTCTGACGCGCCTCGGGGTTGCCCCAAGCCAGAATTGGCTTTACTGGGTTTAGGTGCTTTCCTGTGAAAGTAGACATTGAACGGTAACTTTGGGTTAGAACCCTATTTTTGTCTAAAAACACGTATTTAAAGAGGCTCAAAATCATTTTGGTGGTATTAGTTGTCTGTCAATTAATGATTCCTATTTTGCTAAGTAAAATTTTACCCTAGTCACTAACACTGGACTATATAGCTCTTGCATGAATTATCTTGCCTTACAGCTAAATTATGCTTTACACATTTGAGTTTCCAAAACTGTTTTTTAACAGGGCTCCTTTTTTAATTGTACTGCACAGGAGACAGAGTCTGGCTGTGGCATAATGGAGGAACCAGAACTTACCTTAGTAAGCACCAGTGACATCAGTGTTGCTGAAACAGCGGTAGAATTTGAAAACTTAACTCTACAAGACAAGGAGGTAAACTGATTTCTAGATGAATGTACTAGCCTTCCTTCATACTCAGCAACCTACTGAGAATTAGAAAACAGGTCACTAGTTGCTGTTGGCTTTTGTTTTGTCCCTTTACCTTTCTCTCCCCACTACCTTTGAGTAGATGCAAAGAAACACTATAGGACGAATAGGGTTCCTAAGACTCTAATTTTTCTTTTTAAGTTTTCATTTCAGGTTTTTCTTCAGTTTCTAAATCCAGGTGTGTGTGTGGGG